CCGCGCAACCGGAATACGCTCCGTACATTTTTTTATCACATTTTTTTTGTCGAGGATAACGAGTCTGTATCTTTTCCTGTCCTACCTTTTTCTATACAAATACACCATGTAATGTACGTCATGAAAACAATCAATAGGTACAGGGAAATTATCAGCGAATATCATGTTCATATAGAGGCGCGACCGGACCGGCTCATTGTATACAGACAACATACAGCATGTTACGTGTTACTTTACAACTATGTACTATGTGCACCCTGCACACAACGCACGCCTATTATACATATATTATTTATTAGTGGAGTGAGTGTAACTTACAGCCACATCTGTTACAATATACTACTGTTTTATTTAATCTTTTTACTACATATATTTATTTATTGTATGTTCGCTAAAGATGCAGACAGATAATCTATCAATGTATTTGTATATTACTTACTAGTCTAAGTAATGTTAAGTAAAACATTACTATGTACAAGATTTCCTCTGACCTAAATTAAAGCACAGTGTAATTATGACACAATATATATTAGGATGATCTGGAAATGGCATCAAATAGATAACATTGTGCCACTATTATATTAAACTTTCTACGAACTTTTCTTAATACTTAATGTTGCTATTTTCTGTCAAACAACGAAAATAGACACAGCTCGAATAGGACTTTCATCAGGTTCATGAATAAAGGGGAGTCAAGTTAATGGCATTGAAGTTGTAGTGTTTATATACATTTCTGCGACATTTGAATTTGAATCGGTAATCTAGAGTAACATATGACATCGATTTTATTTGGATTCCATCGCGTTCATATGCGTCTGCTGGCCTACATGCGATATTTACAGCTCTTAGTTTTTGTGAACAAATGTTTCATTATGCTCTGTCTCTCTTTGATCTATAAATCATTAACTGATCTTAATTTTTAACGATCGTTTCTTTATATATATAATAATAATAAATAAAATAATATATATTATGTTATTACAAATTAAACTAGTTTGTGATTAGTTCTGCTTATTGAGTATTTTGATGTTTAACATTTTATTTGGCGCCATAAAGGCTTGACAATTCGTCATGTAATTTCGTATAGCTACAGTAAGTATTATTGTTTGTATTGTATAACGTATGTTATACATTTCCTGATATAATTAATATATTATTAACATGAATCAAATCTGTCTGCATTTATTTCATTTATACATACATATAATAATATTAGCGTCATCTAGCACCAAATTAGGCAGAGCTTATAATAAGGCACTAAACAATTGATAGAAATACTTACTTTATAAATACATACTGCGTATCGTAAAAAAATTAAATCGCTAGGAATCGAATCCGCAGCCATCGGAAGTAAGTCAGTGTGCCTGATGAGCAACTACCAAACATTGAGAATTGAACAATACAGATGTATACGGTCTTCGGATCTGCCCAGGTATGAAAATTTCAATTTTTATTTCTAAAAAAAAAGCTTCCTCCATCTATGTGTACGTTTATGAACCATATAGTTTTTGGTGTGCGTTGTTAGATCAGTCAGTCATAAAAACATCGGTACATGTTCCGCGACGTTCAGTTTTTGTGGTATACAACCGGTTACAACCGGTCACAGGTCCGGTGCGGGCCGGCGCGGCGGCCGCGCGGCCCTAGAGGCTGCACCCACCCAACGACGCCTTCAAATCTTTAATGAATCTGCTCCAAATTCGCTCAAACTTCCTGAACTTATATGACGGATAACGTTTCATTAATTTTTGTTCACTACTTCTCGATTACCGTAAGTGGCGCACACGAGGCGACACCAACCAGTCGCGTCAACCCTGCGAGAATCCGTGGTGTACGTACGAGGTTTCAGACATTTTCAAGTTTTTAGTCAAAATACTATCAAATTGTCAAATTGAGATCTGGTTACGAGATCTATTTGCTGACACTAACTGTCCAACGTCTAAATTCAGTAAGTTTTAAAACTCTCCTCTGAGAGTCTGCATATTTTTGGTAGCCACATTAAAAGCTGCTTTATTTGTGATAATTTTTGCAATAGATAGTTATTTTTCATGCCATTCGAATATTGCCGCGGTCGCCATCGTTTCTCCTCTAAAATAAACGAATGAGCGATTGAATAAAAAAAATATACGTACTTTCCTTTTCTAAAAGTGCTTATATTCGAATAAATATTACTTCTATCCTATTGTAATTATTTCTACACTGCTTGGTAGTGTAGAAAAATTATTGATGTTTAATATTAATTTTAAAAAGAATAGGGTCAATTAGAAGTCTTTTTTTTTATATAAAAAGACGGACAAACCAACCTCCGTTGCATATAGAGTTGCATATAATAATGATAGTGTCTATTATTACAAAAAAAAAATTCACACTACGTAGGTGGCAAACAGGCATACGGCGGCGATGGTAAACGGTTACCGTAGCCTGCGTACGTCTGAAACACTAGGGGTGTCACGTGAGCGTTGCCGGTACTAAATACAATTCTATTAACAATTTTCAAAAGAGTATTTGTATTGCACGAAATACAAAACAAAAATGAAGTCCGATTTACTTTTTTTGTGTGAACGAAATTAGAAACATCGATAGAGTGGATGTCTGAAGGTCGCTGTCGCCAGCCGACGATAGCCTGACCTCGCTCCGTAGAAAGTATCCGTGAAACAATCACAAGAGAGCTGGTATAAGGTAAAGGTTTTTTTCGGACTACTCTAATGCTGTTGGCCGCAGCTGGCCTTTACAGCTCCACCGGACGATAGAAGGCGAGTGCAAATGGCACTCCAAACCAAAGGAAGGACTTATGGAGCGGCTGAAGGCCGACTCCCGCCTGACGGATACGACTTTAGTCTGAGGGCATCGCTAGGGGTTCGAACCTCGGCTCAGGCCGTCGTAATATCGATTCCCGTTTGAATTGGACGGGGGATCGCTTGGAGGGGGGATCGATCGGCAGGGTTAAGGTAAAGTGACGGAGAGATTTGTATGACTACAAACATTGGAGCGAGGGGCTCGGTACTAACGGACACTGATGCGCTCGTCTAGTTACTATTAACTTAACCAGAGAAATTAACACAAGCCTATATAAGTTATATACTAAGCAAGACCTCGTCCTGTGGATACTAAACAACTAAACAACTCACAGAAATGCTTAAATAATTTGTTTATTGTAAATCATCATCATCACTACATAGTATAATTCGCTGTCTGTCCCTATGTATGCTTAAATCTTTAATAGATAGAGTGATTCTAGAGGAAGGTTTGTATATATAATAAATTTACACCCGGGTGAAGCCGGGACGAGTAACTAGTATGTAAATAATATACAAATTTATGAATAGAAATGTTTGTACAGTGAACCAGCGACCACTGGGAGTAAGGCGGTGTGGTAATCACTATACGACTAAGTCCCTTGCTAGCAAAGACATGTGGCACTCCGTGCGGTAGTTGTGGAAACCTTCGAGATGAGTTCCCTGACTTTATAGTGAAGCTTCAGGCGGAGCTGGTAGTCTACTACACTACTACACCACTGCCGTGTCGTCGGCGTGTTCCGTTTGACACAAACATTTGACAAACAGTGCAGCCGACACGGATAAGCGTACGTTGGTATAGTGAGCATTTGTGCTAGATTCAATAAGTCAGTTACAGATTACAATCGCTGCTCTCGATACTGTGCCCCTTACATATTGTTTGTTTACCGTTATATATTTACAAGTAACTCGTGGTGGACACCTCGGCCGTCTAGCGGTTAGTAGTAATAGTGGAATATATACGAGTATATGATGAATATATATAGAAAAATTGTATTGTATTGTACAGGATAGATACATAACTAAAACTATTATTAGAGGACGTAAGTCCCCCAAACAGTGATTATTAGATTTTTGTCTATTTCTGTGCGCCCTAATCTTAGAAAGTGCTTATTCGATTTGGATGCAGTTTTCACAAATGTATTCTGATAATCTTCACTTAAAATGTTGTGTTTGTTCTATATTAGGTTTATAAACAAAAAAGTTAGAAAAGAACCAATAGCGGGCTCAGAATTTATTTATATATTTCAACAATGTTACAGCAGTGTTACAGAAAATCCAAATTGCTATTGTTTGTAAGTAATTTTAATATCAGTTCATAAAATATATGTCGTAGGGACGAAACAAAGATAAAACACGTAGGTAAAGATAATATTGTACTATTACAACGTTGTTTTATTTTAACACTAGCGACTTCGATGGCTTCACATAGATGCGTACAGTATATTTGAATTTCTCGGCTTGTTATATTTTACAACGCACATGTGTTATACATATAAACCTGCCTCTAGAATTACTCTATCTAATAAAAAACCGCTTCAAAATCCGTTGCGTAGTTTTAAAGATTTAAGCATACATAGGGATGGACAGACAGCGACCACGACTTTGTTCTATACTGTGTACTGATATATAAAGATTAATATATTTCAGGGCTGTATGTCTGTTCAAATTGCACTATATGAATGGTTGGTAGTATGTTAAACAATAAGTTATTAGTAAGTAATTTGCCGTCTGTAATTCCAATGTTCGAAGTTGATGTTTTGCAGTATCATATATAATAACATATATAATGAAATGGTTTCCTTTAAGATATATTGGTAGTAGGACAATGGGTTTATGTACTGTAGACCAATGACTTCAAAACATAGCGGGCCAGTACACGAGGCAGTACATAAACATTAATTTTACTCTTGCGTTAACTCAAACAAATCAAGTATAACAGAACCGTTTTTTAAATACAATTGAAAATATTTATCAATGATATAAATGTATATCAACGATAAATCAATTAATTTTAGGTGGACATATTTTGTTTGTAATAAAACATGTGCGACGCCAGGTTCAGTCAATAGTCTATGCTGATATTATAAAGACAAACTATATACCAGATAGAAAGCTATATATGATGGGATGTGTCGTGGGTGATGTGAAGCAGGCGGCGGTATAGAGCGTGTGACCGATACAAGTAACAGAGAAGGCAATACATACTACGTTGTTATTGCGGTGGAGACAGCGGTGGAGCCCCGCGGGCGCGTGGCGGGGTCCCGGCGAGTGGCAGGCCAGCCCTCGGGAGCTGCACACCACCAACACCCACCATTTAGTGCAACACTCACACACCGCACAGCCATACTCGCTTTTGCATCAAGAAGCGGATCCGCACAGCAAGCAATGGTCCATTCCTTATATACATCTTTGTTTTCTTTCTATATATATAAATATATATAATAATATTGAGACGTAGCGGAAATTGTGTATTTGTCTGTGTAATGTGTGCGTTAAGTTTGAAGTTGAAAACGATTCGAAGAATAGGGATGAAATTATTGACAGAATAGTCAATAAATATACTAAAGAAAGGTATTATACAAAATCTACACGCATACAAAGTCCGCAGGCAACACTAGTCTAATAATAATAATAGTAATTGTCCCAAAACACGGCACATGTTCCAGCTCCCACGTCGATTAAGTCAAGCTCTCTAATGTCTCAATGTTGTGTTTAAATTGCATATAAAAAAATCTTCATACATTAAACAGTAGAACCTCTGAAGTAAACGACATCAATGAGATCTCGTCCGTAATATTATATATTTTCTATTCAATACATATTTTAATCCATTATCTATTGAATTTTATATATTTTTCGAGTATATTTCATACGGATCTTATAATATAAATTAAATGTTTAGAGAATCAACTAGTTTACAATATTATTTACATGATTTCTCTCGAGTTCGCTATAAGGAAGAATTACAAGAAAAACAACTGCATTAATTTATTCTTTTTAATTGTTTTTGACCATATTAAGGATGTTTTCAAATACTGAGCTGTAAGTTTTAAAAACATTCATACGTATCTACAAAGTTCCGCGAAACGAGACATTTCAATATTAGACTTTCATGATATCTTAATAATTTATTTTTATTATACGTATATATATATATCTATATTAGGTGTTACATGTGACTTCGTCTGCACAAATATTCACCCCCATGTAGATACTTTATAGCATAAAAGACAGCTATTGTCCGTCCTCTGTGCACAGTCTATCTTCATGTCAAAATTTTTTTGAATTCGTTCAGCCGTTCAGTCGTGAAAAGGTAATAATAGTGGCAGACATATACTCAATTTCATATTTATATTTACTATCAACCAGGAAAAGATTAGAGAGAATCATCAAATCAAGTTATAAGTTTAAACAATCAAGTTATAAATAAATTCGCGTGACAATTTTAAATAAGTTGTAAATAAGGAAAACCATATTTCTGTTATCTCAGCACATCAAAAAGTTGATCATTTTTAATTAATTCTTCATGCGAGGCGACTGAACGTTGATGGTAATAATATTTTCTGAATAGATGATGTAACCCGGATCGAAAAAATACAACAAAACATTTCGGAGCCGGTTCTATTTCCCAAAGTAAAAAAAAAACTGACAATAAAATATGACCTTGTTAATAAAACAGTGCCATAGACCTAACTTTTTTACTGCAATTAGCACAAAATCGTAACAGTACCAGTGAATATATAAAAAAGTAGCATCATAGTTCTTAAAACTCGATACTAATGTAAAACAAGTGAATCTGTCTGTTTAGCCTTTTAGTACTGTAAAGGGTACCCTTTACAGTACTAAAAAGCTATACGTAAGCTACGTTAATAGTTTAGTGATGAGAAGATTAGTAAAGATAGAGTGTTGAAGTACGTTTAACAGGCTGAGAAGGTAAATTACATCGATTGAAGCTTTTTGACCAATATACATGTTGTCAAATGTCTAAACGTAGCTACGTTTAACCTTTTAGCACTGTAAAGGTGACAATCAAACAGAAACTATAAACATATCTAGCCACTAAGAAGCGGATGTTTTTAATTTTACTACATCACTGTCTTCTATACGAGTGCGGTTTAGTTTACAAAACGCAGCTTACAAGTCAGATTTGAAATTTTAGTCATTTATTTAAATGAATTCTGAACGCAAAAGAGGTAGAGGACGTCCTCCAGCCACCTGGTGGTATGAGCATGCTTGTAGCTACGGAAAAATCGCCCGACCCGACAACCCAGTACAGACTGGTCTGGCGCGGAAAAGTTAGGAGAGCCAAGAGGAAGAAGTAGAAGATTTAAACAAATTCTACATTTATATTATATTATTTATTTATACAGTGTCTCTATTGTATTTCACATATAAAATATTATATACAAAAAAATTCGCTACGCTTAAAAGCACACGACGCGACGCGACGGGAGATAGCGTTTATTTCCTCAATACGCACATACTGACATTTATCCATTTTAGAATTCTGTTATTTTTTATAATATGTTAACGTAGAATTAAATCATTTATGTCCACTAACATATGTATTAGTAATATTTCCATATTCACGAATAGATTAGAAATTTTAAAGTATTACAACAATTTAGACAATAAAATTGGAGACAAACAGTAAATAATAAAATAAATGAATACAGTATTTTAGCAGCAGGTATTTTATTTAGGCAGATATTTTAAGGGAATGGTCCTTTAAATTAAAATCTCTACAATCCACGTAAGAGCGTCGCGCCGTAGCTGTTAAACAAATCAGAGTTATTGACCCGGAAGGTCGTGAGTTCTAAACTAACCTACATCACAAAAACTTTGAATTTGGCTTTACCAAATGACCGTGTGGCTGATCAAAGTCGGTGGCATAGAAGGCGAATATATTGAACGCACTTAATGTTGCAAGTTGAATTTAAATATAGGTGCTTCTGACTACTCTATAACGGGATTACCGGCGTGAATGTATATATATTACGTATAGGGTTGCCAAGCCCAAATTAACAAAACCAGGACTACCCAGTTTAAAAACAAAACACGGTAATAGTGTTGCAATAGTTATATGAATATGTAGTAAAATTCAAGTAATTAATATAATCAGGTTATCTACAGTATAATTTTATGAAATACTTTTTATTGAGTGTATTAAGAGGCGCGCATATTTTAAAAACCCAGCACGCTGACAAATAACTATTGAGGACTTCCCAGGATACTTCAAAAACTAGGACATGTCCTGGGAAAACAGGACGGTTGGCAACTCTATATGTATAATGGTATATATATATATATGTGCGTGTGACGGTAATTGTAATATTAAATCGCAAACCTTGGCGTATATTGAAGTCAAGTACAAACTGGGGCTTATCAATTAAACGCTTTTAACATGTGATGGAGGATTGCGGAAATTTTTATGATACGCAGCACACGGTCAGCTGACAATGTGCAGTGCATCTGAGGAGCCGTCGGCACGTGATCACACCACTCGTTCTCACAGCGTTACAAAATGCAATTTGAACAAATAAAGTTCTCGTATTAATTAGCGAAACGTGCCCGCGGTAACCTTTGCCAAGATAAATGGCAATGGTCTTGGAATTATATTCAAAATTGTTGCCTCTTCAAAGCTATTTTATAACGCCAATAAAATACTTCGTTTAATTTTATAAAGTATGGACTAGAGTGCGGAGATAAATCTGTTTTGGTTTAAACTAAAGGCAAAACAACATAGTAGTCAGGAAAAGAATTCGATGACAGATATCACGGACGTCAAAATGATTCTTTTTAGGCTTCATGCAAATAGTATCAGTCGGTGATTAGCTTATTCGAATGTTAAATACATAAAAAATATCTAAACAAGTTCATAATTTATAATAATACCATCACTAGAATAATATCATCATTACTATAAGACTGTACACGAAATGAGAACTCGAAAAACCTTAGATAAGTTTTAAAGTAATATTATTTAAACTTATCTAAGGTCTTTAGTGTATATCTAATTATTGAAATATCTAAGTTCAAAATGTGTATAACTCACTGTCCTGTGGAGGTGTACGAGTACGTTCACTTAAATGTCTTGTTCACTTAGATGGCGTTAACTCGGACGCCGCGGCGCCGCGGCAGGCTTTATTTTTAGAGACTTCACCGAGTTACCTGCGCGTGTAGCTGCATAACTTTATTTCTATTTATAGTCAATCTACACTTGGCTACTACAACCTTAAGTCTAATGAACCGGTAGGCGATAGAAATATAAATTATACCAATGCATAAATGTACATTTGTTTTTAACACATATTCTGTTTAACACCGTTTATTTGTATAAAATTCTTATTAAGATGTCTTAAGGTTATTAATTTCAAGAAAATAACGTTACGGAGAATAAAATCTATAAAATTTCTTAAAAAAAGGATAAAGTGTCGTCTATGAGTAGTAGGAAAACGTAGATAGAGTTGTTATCAGTATTAATTCAAAACAAACATTGAATGCTGTTTGTCTAATTGGACATCTATACTGGATGTTACAGCTGGTGGTACACTCCAATGATTATATAAAGCCTTTTCGTTGCAGTTCCACTCCTACAGGGATATAGCGCTCTTCGATAAAGGGGAATAACTAGTACTGGATATAACATATCACATATACACTCACAAACTTCCGTATATCTCGAATAGCACCTAACATAGAAATAATAATTAGTCAAAACATTTATCTAATATTTAGACTTGATTTCACAACTCTCATTAATAATAATTGATCTAATATATATTTTACGGATGAAAGTATCAAGTTTTAAAAAGATTACAAGATTTGTTTTTTAACACTCGTATACCTACGGATTTGTTAGTATAGTAGAAATATTGATTTCATGCACAATGCATTTTTGAAGATAAGATAAGATTATAAAATTTACCTATGCTTCTTATATTCAAAGAACAGAGGTCGTTATTTACGTTTATAATTTGTTCTTAGTCAGTATTATTTAGTTAATTAAGTGAAATATTTACCAATATACCGGATTTATGGCATTGTTTTCGGAGCACATCCATACACACGACGCCTAACATCCGGCTACAAATAGCGATTGTTTCAGCAAACCACGGGAATTAATGAAAACAATTATTAATAAACAATTATAAAACACTAACAATTTCTATATAAATAATAAATAACTATATACTCGTATATATACATTTGTAAATACATAATAAACAATAATATTATATAGTTTTTACAATATATATCACTACATAGTATAAAACAAAGTCGCTGTCG